ATAAAAGGTTTGATTTGAAATCCCAATCACCTGAAGAAGGCTAGGGTGTACAATGGCTGAAACATCATGAATATGACAACAAAGATATGGACAACAGTCCGAACCATATAAATAGTGTAAATTAAGTTTTAGTTTATTTTCTGCTTTTCCATAATTTCACCATGCTTGTTCCCCCACCCCCATTCCTGTGTCTAATTTTACTTTTTATCTTCTTGCAGACACCATCAAAAATGTGGCCAGTGCTCAACTGGCTGTCATGGTTATTAAAGGAATTAACCAGTTTCCAGACAATACCCAAAGACTCATTGGTACCATTGATGTCTGGTGGATTGTACATATCCTTTTTCATTGTGGTTCACACGGAATTCAAACTGTTTTATGTTGAATTATTTATATAACATTTCAAGATGCCTTCTTTTCTATCTCATCATTATTTTTGAACCCCTTTTTTTTTCTTCTTATTTTACTCTCCCTTGCCTTGAAAACTATAGATTCATCTGAAGATGTCCATTTTGTCTTTCGCAACATATCTTCCAAATTAGTATTGGTATTAGGCAATAGATGACTTCAATTCTACTCCAAAATTCTAATAAACTGTATTATTTACATTATTTAGACTGTTATCCTCATCTTCATTGCCATATTCACAACGTTTCGGCCGTTATACACTACAGTGATTGGAATTTTGAACCAAACCCTTTATTTCATCCTCCAGGGTAGATTGTTTTAGGCCCACTTGCCATGCCTCTTCCAGATGGCTCAGTTATTTGCCCTTTAGCTCAACTCTCAACTTTATTCACCACTGCTGTGGCCTGGTATTGAACTCACATCTCTTTGGGTCTAGTCACTGGATCTAACCAACATCTTTATCCTGATTTGGGCCATGTGACTAGACACAAAGAATTGTGAGTTCAATACCAGGTCACAGAGGGTGGTGAATCAAAACTTGGAGAGTTGAGTTAAAGGGAAGTAACTGAGACATCTGGAAGAGACATGGCATGTGGAACTAGAACAATCTACCCTGGTGGACTAAATAAATGGTTTGGTTCAAGATTCCAATCACCTGAAGAAAGTTGGCACATACAACTGCCCAAAAATTGTCAATATGGCAATGAAGATGAGAATAACAACCCGAATAATGTAAATAATCATAATACCTCATCTCAGAGATATAGAGGCCGAAACATGAATATGGCAATGAAAATGAGGATAACAGCTCGAATTATGCAAATAATGCAAGTAATCATAATACCTCATCTTGGACAAAATTACACATTTGTAAATATACCCAAGAAGACATACCACCACCACCACCACAGCCATTTACATTTAATATGTGAATGTAATGGTAATATTAGCTGTTTCCCTATAATATTTGGCATTCATTGAACGAGCAATCAGAAAAGTAGGTTTCTAAAGTCCAGTATCACTCTTTCCACTATTTGTGGAGATTTCCTTCTTAACCTTTTGTTCGAAGTGGTGTGGAATGTCAACATCTTCATTATGTCATTATTTTCTCTTTGAGTTACATATGCTACGGAGAATTGTGTCAACCCGACAAGAGACCTGGAGTTATGTTCACTTCCACGATATTGAGTCACCCCCCCCATGAGGGTGTCATGTGGCACAAGGCCTTTTTAACGTGGGCATTCCGAGCCCGTGGGCTCAGCCAAAAATATGCCCATTGAACCCGGTTCAGGGTTTTTTACCTCCCAAGGGAGACTCCGCCTTGGCTTAGCCTCCTTCGGTTCCTCCGTCCGTAGGAAGAGAGTTCAACCGAGTAGTCGGTTCAAAAGTGAACTACTGACTCACTCACTGTCCACTTCCACAACTGCCTGTTAAGAGAGGACATTCTACTTACAGTAGACGGTGCTGACAATATTTGCATACAAACAACACTGGGCAGATATTAGCCACTAATCAGTGTGGGTCTAGAAAAGGTGGATTCCTATCTTCCCCAAGGGTATTTGTAAATGAATATAACAAACCCAACTGGAATTGGAAATCTGCTCTCTGATTAAAATTTCCAAGCCATTATCCATTACACCACCTGACATCCTAGCTTACAGCATCTGGTATTCCCAAGGAGTCACTCATCTAGGTACTGACCAAGGTTGTGGTTGCTTAACCGGGGGTGATTGCACAGGAACTCGGCTCCCCAATTATTAATTCCAAGCCATTATGCATTACACCACCTGCACATCCTAGCTTACAGCATCTGGTATTCCCAAGGAGTCACTCATCTAGGTACTGACCAAGGTTGTGGTTGCTTAACTTCGGTGATTGCACAGGAACTCGGCTCCCCAATTATTAATTCCAAGCCATTATCCATTACACCACCTGACATCCTAGCTTACAGTATCTGGTATTTCCAAGGAGTCACTCATCTAGGTACTGACCAAGGTTGTGGTTGCTTAACTTCGGTGATTGATTAATTCCAAGCCATTATCCATTACACCACCTGACATCCTAGCTTACAGTATCTGGTATTCCCAAGGAGTCACTCATCTAGGTACTAGAACTAAGAGAGCTATATAACACCAGCTTTTTCTCAGTTGGGTAGAAGCACTCTCAACATGTGGACCATCCGTTTCATGTCAGATTTGGGTTACGTCCACTTAGAAAACCAGATGAGACGCTCCGTTTTAGCTGTTACTGATGTTGGTCATCCTCGAGTGATGTGGTTTACCTTATTTGGTACAAGTTCTTTGTTTCTCATTCTGTATTGCCAGACGACAATATTCAAGGAAGGATGATCATCCTGGGCAAGATGTTAAACTACATCCAGCAGCAAGACCTCTGATCAGTAGGTTTTGATGAGTGTGGAACCACCTCTTAATTGCTGGTGTTCCCAGGTCCACCCTGTTAGGGTCCCAGCTATGGGCAAATAGTTAACTATTACCAGCAATACATTTTTGAAAAAAATTATTACCAGCAATACAATTTTGAAGGAAAAATATTACCAGAAACAGATTTTTGACAAAACAAAATATTACCAGAAATGAAAAATGTTATCAGCATTAAATAACCCATTGAGATTGATAAACAAAATAAACCAAACCAAAACCAAACCATCTAAACCAAGACATATTCAGGTTTCATTTCTATTAAAGCCTTTTGTAATCATTAAATAAGATTGAGGTTGTATGCAAAAAAAAAACATTTTAGATATTTCTGACTGGCTTTGACACTATGCTTGACATTCATATGGCTATTTAAGAACATTAGTCTTGTTTTTAGGTTGATGTTTCAGTTTTGTAACTATGTGCAGTGTTGGGTGAAACTATCCCTAATGCAACCTACTCTCTGTTCAATTAACTTATCTCCTATATGAAATTTGTTATAACCGATCTATAAGCCGAGGTATATGAAGTGTTTAGTATTTACTAATTCCACGTCCTGAATTTTTATAATGGATTCAGTGTAGAGTCATATGATACACACTACAGTTCAAAAGTTTGAGGCAACCCCTGGCAATATTTTAAATTGGCCCCAAAAGTAAGAGAAAACTATTATACATGGTTAAAAAAAAAAAAGTGAGACTTGATTTTTATTAGAAATTTTACTATGACATAAAGAAAAAATCATTTTATGATTGTGGTGAATGATTACATAGAAGCAAGCAAGTCACTTTCATCTTGTGCAAAGGAAAATAAGTTCCTTACCTCAATGCATGACACATAGCAGCGGCATTTTGTTCCTTGAAAATGGCAGGAACTCCCCTCTCCACTTTAGATTATTCTAGAAGTGCATATTCTGTAATGTTGGCTTTTATACAGCTTAATGTGGTTTGACCAATAGCAAGTCTCTTGCTGATTGGTGGGACTGGAGGATGCCATTTGACTGAGTAACTGAGGACAAAGTGAAGTATGCTAATTGGTCAGTTGGCTGTTACGTTGGTATGATAAAAGATGGCTGAAGCAGTGAGAATCAGAGCGATTTTTACATTGGTGAGATGTGCAGGAATTCAAGAAGTATTTGGTGTTGTACAAGTGATGTGAGAAGAACAAAAGCTCATTTAACTATAACGATTAAATTTTGCTCTCGTCAAAATATCCTCCTTTAACATTGATTACTGCAGCTCAAATTTTTGGTATGCATTGCAAAAGTTTCTCAAAGTACAAGTTTGGTATCTGTCCATATTTCTGAGATGTGGTATTATCTACACTATTTACATTATTTGGACTATTGTCCTCATCTTTGTCACCATATTTATTACAACATTTCGTCCGTTGTTTCAGGTGGTTGGAATGTTGAACTGAACCCTTTATTTTTGTCACAGATGTCCTCAAGGACACATGGCACAGTGGATAAAGGTGTTAGTTAGATCCAGTGACAGGACCCAAAGAGTGTGAGTTCAATACCCGGTTAAGGCAGTGGAGAACTTGGAGAGGGGAATTAACACGAGATAACTGACATCCAGTAAACATGGCAGATGGAACTAGAATAGTCTACCCTAATGAGTGAAATAAAGGTTTCAGTTCGACATTCCAACCATCTGAAGAAGGCCAGAGCGTACAACGGCTGAAACATTGTAATAAATATGGTGATAAAGATGAGGACAATAAATAGTCTGAATAATGTAAATAGCGTATAAGTTTGATAATTGATTCCATTCTTTTTCAATGACTCTAAGAGCTCTTTTTCATTTTTTTTTTTTTTTTTTTTTTTTTGTGTGTGTGTTTCACTCTTCCTGTCAAGTTCATTCCATGCTAATTCTGGGTGGGGGTGACTTCAAATTTATGAACTGTAGTGTAAATACTTGTCACGATGTTTGATGTTTTGAAATTCATATAAAGTAAAATAATTTCACTTGGGAGAAGAAAAAATATTTGAGATTGCATGGATGCTTTGGTAAATGTGAAATCATGAAACAAAAGAGAAGTACTTAGTATTGGTATTTAGTACAAGTATTAGTAAGTATTTAGTATGAAAAGGGAAAAAGGGGCATTAATCAGAAATACACTTCTCAAGTTTTTCATATTTCACTATATTGTCTCATGTCTTTCTGCTATCCTCTGTACCGTCTATCTTTTTCTCTCTCTCTCTCTCTCTCTCTCTTCATCTCTCTCTGCCATTTTCCCTCTATAACCCTTTTTCTTTCTCCCCTTCCCTATTCCTCTCCATCTGGAAATCCGTCTCTCTCTCTCTCTCTCCTCATCTGTCTTTCTAATTCCTCCTTTGATCTCCTGAATGGATCCTCCTCCTCTCTCCTCTTTCCTCCTAACATCTCCATGCCTCCCATGCCTAATTATCTCCTCCGTCTCCTCCGCCTCAACATCTCCTTTTCTAGATCCCATCCCATTCACATTTATCAGATATCTCCTCCTCCTCAAAAAAAACATTAATTCCTTTCTGTATTTTCCTCTGAAATCTTTATTTCTCCCTATTTAATCCGTTGACCCTTTCCATCTTTTGTTTTCTTGGAATCCTCCTTTCTATATTCTACCTTTGAATCCTCCCTTCAAAAAATAGGAGATCTTCTTTTTTTATCTCCCCTCTTTTTTCTAGTCTCCTTTAGAATATCACCTCTTTTCTCCCCTCTCCTTTTCCTATCTCCCCTCTCTTTTCTCCCCTCTCCTTTTCCTATCTCTATAAATTTTTTCTAAAATCCAAACTTTTTTCCCTGAAAGTATAATATTTTTGATTTTCCTAAATAATATATAATATCTCTTTTCTCCCTCTCAATTTTCTTTTTCTCTCCCTCTTTTTCTCCCCTTTTTTCTTTTCTTTCCTTTCCCTATCTTTTCTAAAATTTTTAATTTTTCCTATCTCCCCTCTCTTTTCTCCCCTTTCCTTTTCCTATTCCCAATCTTTTTTCTTATAAAAATCCCCTCTCTTAAAATTTTTTTTTCCCCTCTCCTTTCTCCCCTTTCCTTTTCCTATCTCCCCTCTCTAGTCTATATCCTCCTATTTCTCCCTAATCTCTCCTCTATTTTATCTCCTTTCTTCAACGCTCCTTTCAAATAATAAACATTTTTTTCCAGTTAATAATACAGTTCAAGAATTCAATTTTAAATTGTCCCCCCCCGGCTACTTGTGTGCATCTCTAAATTTCTCTGTTGCTCCCACTTTCTCATCATCTTCTCTTACCTGTTATCCTTAACTCTAGCCCCACATGAAGGGGGTCTGCTGATGTTGTTGCCCTTTCTGCTTAGACAACACAAAGTCTGGAAGAACTGCAAGTTACGAATCTTCACCGTTGCTCGTATCCTTTTTCAATCCATCATGACCAAAAATTGAAATCATCATCTATCATCACTACATACCCCCCCACCCTCAAACACACACAGTAAATCTGTTTTAACCCAAAAGATATTTAATCTAAAAAAAAAAAAAAAATAAAGACTAAGGCTTTTGTTTTAAAGAACTATTCAAAATAATTTATTGTTGAGTCATTAAAATTTGTTACATCACTGGCCATGATAAAAATTTCTTTTTCTCAGCCGGTGAAGTTTCCTTGTTGGACATGAAACCTCCCCCAGGTTCATGAACAGAAATCGGCTGTTATCCTATCATGCTGACCCAGTGCATGTCGGTAGGAGCAAGTATCACATATATGAACAATCATGTCTCTTTTTGATTCATGATCAGCCAAGGATATTTGCACGTAAGGTAATGCAACAAACCCGACTGGAATTTGAACATAGCTCTCTGATTTCTCATTCTGAGCCATCATCCATTACATCATCAGCACATCCAAGCTTACAGCATCTGTTATTCCCAAGTGGTCACCCATCTAGGTACAGACCAGGCACTACATTGCTTAACTTCTGTGATCAGATGAGAACAGGTGTTCCAATGTGATATGGCTCTAAACAGATAAAAGTACATTTAAAATAATCTTTCGGTATTGTTGGTTAATACATGCTACTCAAAAGCTTTGTGTATTTGAACCGTGAAACAGGAGAATCTTGGAGAAACAGCTGGGATCACTGTATGAGGGTGAGTCAAAAAGTAATGCAATTTGTTTAATTATATATGAAATAAGTACCACAACCAGACATATTGTACATGAAGATTTGGCTGTACATCACAGGTTCACATCCGTTGGCTGTTGATGTATCCAGTTCCTTAGAGAAGTTTCCACTTCATCACCACCTGACTTAAGACCCTTAAATTTCCATCTCTTTAATTTCCATCATTTGAATGACAGAGGCACTGAAGCAAGTGATGGTGTTGAGTTAATGAAAACTGCTGTAAGGAATTGGCTACATAAACAAATGTCTTACCATTATGTAAAAGGTATTTCTGATATATATATGTTTAATGGCTATCACACCAAGCAAGGCAGTAAAGTCACTAAAATACAAGAGGTTACAGGGTGTGGAAGAGTTAGGAACAGAAACATTAATAATGATTGGTTTTCCTTTTAATCAGGAGGACAGTAGATAGTGATTGGCATTTTTTTTTAAAATTCACCCAAGGGAGTAAAGCCACTAAGACACAAGAGGTTACTGGGTGGGGAAGAATTAGGAACAGAAACATCAGTGATGAGCAGAAAGAGAAGAGAGTAATCAGGAGGACAGCAGATAGCGATTGACATTACATTTAAATTTTTGCAGATTAAAGTTGGCTGGAAAGCATGGAACTTGGAAGGAGTTTCACAGGCGAGAACTGCGTGAAAAGAAACTGTTAGCATAGAATTTATGGATACATCTAGTCAGCTCAACTTTAAATTGATGAGACCTCAACGTCAGTCTATTATGTGCTTAAATTCAAAATGTCTAGGTACTATGGCGAAAAGCTCATCTGAACACTTACCATGAAAGTATTTATAAAAAAAAAAAAAAAAGGCTAAGAGAGGCAACCTTATTCCAGTTAGTGACTGAAGCCGAGCTGCCAGATCAGGACCAATAATATTGCTGAATTTTCTTTGGATTTTATCAAGGAGCTCAAGGTAAATAACAGCAGCACCTAACCGTATGTGGCAGTAATATTCTAAGTATGATGAAAAGGTAGACTTATAGATATATATGATAGATTCTGTAGAGTAAAATTGTCCCGCACGACACAGTGAAACGATTTTCTTAGCAGCTGTCCTAGAAATGGTTATTTTTAATGGATACCCAGATAGAATGTACAGTTTTTAAAACAGTCTGCTCATCTGTTTGCTCCACAGAGCACATTTTCTTAAGTGTTTTTCTCATGTGTGCAAGCCAGTAAACGTAATACATACTGTTTAATAAAAATACGACTATCCACTAAAAATAACGTTTGAAGTTATTAAAAAAAAAATGAATTAATTAAAAAATTATAAAAAAAAGTTATTAAAATGTCGGATTAAAAAAAATCCATTGATAAATAAAGAAATATTAACATACCTGTCCAAACAGTCCAAGGGAAGCAACCCTAATTTACTTGCTTATAGTTTTAAAAAAATTGAAACAGACTTACCTCCCCTTTTCCATATTTTAACAATGCAAATCTTATAAATAAACAAACGTAATCCACTCGCTGGACTTTACTTTTGATCACTTTCAAAACTGATTAAAAAATGGTCGTTTGATTTCTTTAATGGAAAACAAAAAATGTTGTTGTAGTTTACCGTATTGGCATTTTTTTTTTTTTTACTAATAATTTTACATTCGTTATGCGGAGGTAAAACGTGAGCATGCCTCGTAAAAAAAACAAAAAAATACGGTTCAGTGTGGAAGAAGCCAAAGTTCAAATTCTAGCAGAGTCTGCTGCGTACACTTTTTCGTAAATAAAAAGATATGAATCCAATAATTATTGTTCCTCCAGCTATAGTTTATTTTGTAATGTGGTTATTAAAATAACTAGAACGGCAGCTTAAGTGGTTTTTTTAGTTTTTTTAAAACAAGAGCTATACAAGTAAATATTTACAAGTTCTTCTGAAGCTGGAAAGCAAGCTGGTATTTACCCGACCTCCCCACGAGTCAGGATGTGGCACAAGGCCGATTTTTATCTAGGGTGATCCGATCCCATAGCCTCGGTCAAAAATTCCCCATAGTCCCCGTATATACGCGTCTGGGTTCCTTTTTGATGCTTCTTGCTCAATCCTAGGCTGGAAAGCACCCCCCCCCCGGCGAGACCACAGACGTTTATATCCCTACTGGAACAGTCTGTAGAGGGCCGTGTGCGCATTCATGTGTTGTTGTATTAGAAACATGTGTGTAACTCCTGGAAGAATATTAAAAGGTCCAACTACATGAAAATTGCCGGACTTAATTTGGGACTTTTTGAAGATGAAAGACAAACAAGACATATATATATATATATATATATATATATATATATATATATATAAAAAGAAATATTAAAACAAATTACAAGGCACATAGACATAACATTGTGTGTGTTCTTTGATGAATGTTTGTAATGTTCATAGCGTTTTCCAGAAATGGGAATCGCTGATCGTCTAAGAAGAGCTTATATCTTGTCGCTGAAATGAAGAAAAACTTTTTACCTCACCTCCACGCAAGGTGGAATGTGGCATGAGACCTGAGGGGAAAAAGGTTATGTATTTCTGTGCTATAACAGAAAATGTGGCACAAGGCCGAACTGGGGAATGGGGAAGTGGTCAGTCTTCTGTCTTAACTTCTAAACTTAGCTAGCCACAAACGCTGACCCAATCATACTAACAATATTTCTTGCACCAAAACAACATATTCTTACTTACCTTTCTCACTACACCCACCATAATACCTCAATAACTCCATGAAAATACTAACTAGACCCCATATGTAAAATTTGTCGTCTGTGGAGGGAGGGGATTAAAACAATAATTTAATTTTTTTTAAAAAGTAACCCAAATGAGTATTTACATTATGAAACAAATAACTATTTACAAGAAACTAAACAAAATCATGTTAGTAATAAAACCCCCACAATCACTATATATGGCAGAAACATCAGTTAACTAGACGAAATTAATGCGGGACTATAAAAAATTAAAAAAACATTCATTCATCCCAGGCACTCACACAGACTCATTCAGACACAACAACAGAAACAAAAAAATCACACCCGAAACGAAAAAATGCCCCACATTCACCAGAGAACTGACGTCACTGGTCTGAGGGAAAAAGAGATCAAGGAAAGATGTCACCTGGTATATATAGCATGGTAAAGAGGAGGTAACTCCTACAAGTCCATTTAATAGAGGTGTATCAGTTCTTTGTTTACTGAGGGCTATCAATTCGTTTCCTACAACAGTTTAAATATGGGGTAGCCTTAGCTCAGGGCAGGATTTAGATGAAGAGAGGCTCTAGTCTATTTCATTTGTGAGGCCCCTTCAAATCCCTCATACTTCCATTTTCCTCTACTGTTGAGTATGTTAAACAATTTGAGGAAAGCCGAGGATGATGAGTGCTTAAAATTCTCAGAAGGTTGTTTGGAGCCTACAATGCATTATGGCAGCATGTGTAAGAAAAGCTTATAATAATGTTAAAAATTATTATACACCTTGGCTGGAGACCACCTAGCTTTTGAGGCCCTAGGCTTCAAACTGTTAAGCCTATAGGTAAATCCGGCACTGGTATTAGAGCATATTCTAAGATTAACATTAGCTACTTCAATACATTAATATAGGATTGTGGACATGAAAGCAAGACTAACTTTAGCTCTCGACATAAGAGGGTTCGTTTGTGTCTGGTGTGCAGGACAGTAATTAATCCAAAGAGATACACCGCCATTATGGTGAGTCAGACTTATGGAAAACGCGATCTCGAGCTGCGAGGATTGGCGAGACATGAACTGGGCCGGACGCAGGTTGGTGGGCATTCGCTGTGATAAAATAACGACGAGACACCACTCGGGAGATTTTTGTGTGTAGCGAACTAGGAGGCGTGTTTGAACAATTAAGCGGAAAGATCAGTGGAATTTTAAAGCTAAACAAGTTCATGAATTTAAGGAGTTTTGTTTCTTCCCGAAGTAGGCGGTAACAAGCCAACCTGTTCCCTTCCTATTGTTTGGACCTAATTTTATCTACAAGGATTCTGTCACTAAAAATATTATACACCTCGGCTAGAGGTTGCCTAGATTTTGAGGCCCTAGGCTTCAGCCTGCTAAGACTATAGGTAAATCCAGCACTGTCAGTACTCTGCAGTCTTGAATTGCAACCAGTCTATGAGAAGTGTTGCAACCTTGCTTCTGATTAGGCTAAAAGCATTGGCAACAATATTTTGCACATAAAAATGACAGGTGTAAGGAAATGGAAGATAATTTCAACAAGGCGATATTTTTGTTTTTATATAACTGAGTAAGAAGAGAAAATACATTAGTATACATGAAAGAAAACATTACAAGTTAAGAAGTGTGTGGTTGGTGGGGTTGTATACATGTGTGTACGAATGAATGAAGTTCAGTCACTAAGGGAAAAGATGTCCCCCATACCTAGGAACAAGGCCTTTGTGGTGTTGTCACTAAAGCAGGCTGGAAGGAAAAAAGATAAGAGAGAGCAAGAGAAAGACAGGCAGTGTACTTTTTCATGCAAAGTAACCCCTTGTGTCTTAATGGCTTTATTGCCTTACTTGGAGTGAAATGATTAAAAAAACAATTATATTAAATCCAAAATATACTGGAAGTAGCGGTATGGCCAGATTCTCCTACTAGCTACATCCCAGGGACCACCAAGCTTGGCAATAATGCTGGTTATTAAAAGACCGTTTTTTTTTTCTATACTTGTGTTGAAATAAGGGCTAAGTTGGTTTACAATAAATAGTAAAATAGCTGTAGTTAGAGAGTATCTCTGTTTGAACCCCATAATTTTATTTTTCTAATTTTTTTTAATTTTAATTTTCTAGAGATCATATTCCTAAGTAGTTTCATAAAGAATATTTCTATTGACAAACAAAATGTCGCTATTCTAGTTTATGTAAAGAATTTGCATTAAGTTTACATCTAGCTATGTAAATATCACTAAAATATATCATAATATTCAAGACGGGTGTGGGCATTTTACAGTATGGCTTTTGTAATTTCATTAGTCTTGGGGGCCCCAAAAGTTCATGATCCTGACCTGAGCAGAGGTCTCAGATTTAAAAGCATTTTTTTTTTTTTGTAGCTGATTGATGTCAACCTTGGTTGATTCAGTTCCACTTCATTGATTTTTTTTTTTTTTTTTTTTTTTAAACATTTTCTTCCTTAATGAGAATTTCCAAAGAACTGGAAGATAACAGTATCCAGATGGAGAAGGATCTTAACCAATACATGTACAACTTACGAATAGAGGCTGAAGTGAAGATTGTAGAAATGGTAAGTGACATTTAAATTATTCAAAAACTAATTTGGTTAATAACTGGTTGTGGGTAGGGTCTTAAGAATTCTTTAAGCACCATTTTAGGAATTCAGTATGATTCCATTGTAACAGTTACCGATGGTCAATAAAAATATCATTGTGAGAAAAATGTGGTGGGGTCATGTTAATCTATAGTCACATGGGGCTTAGGGGTTAAAAATGAACAGTTGATTTACCTACGCCAAGAAAATTAATGGAGGATGCTATTAACGAGGAAACACACAGGTAATTTTAACAAAACAAGATAAAAAATTGATATGCCCCAGAAAGGGATATCGCATAATACATTCAGAATGCTTTAAAGGTGGTCATCGGATGGTGAAAAGCCATCTGTACATGATTTGGGGTTCTTATTCATCATATCAGCTCTCGACAGCCACCCCCGACCTGTTATCTGATCCTACAGGTCGCCACCGTAAAGAATTGTGCTAGTGCTCATGACAGAATTTATAAAATAAATAATAATAAAAAAATATATAAAAAACCAACAGAAGCGTCCAAAATTGCTTGCCCAATTAAAATATTAACGATACATTTAGCTGTTCACTAAAATGGGGCTCTCTTTTTTTTTTTTTCTTCTTTTTTTTTCTCTTTTCCCCTCCTTCCAAACTGGATTATATAGTAAAACTTTGAACCATCTCAATTAAAATATATATATATATATATATATATATATATATAAAGCGATATATTTGTTCGAAGTAGCAAAGTGGTTGTTGACTACTGTAACCGGGTAGGACAATCTAGCATGTAGTTGTAATGGACTGGTCCTCGTCGTAGGGGTAGACAATAGGCATCGTTCATGTACCTCCACATCAGTCTGTATTTATGGCTGACACCAGCCAATCATATTTCTGTGAGAGGAAACCCAGGTGTATGCATATTCATTACATCAGAAATTTATTCACAAATTGACATGTTTGAAGTTGTGTCAGTAGCTCATTTCAGAAAAATAAATCAGAATTCTTAAAGTCCATAGTTTTAAAATATCATCGGGAAGAGGAAATGTTCATACAACAGGTTAAATGATCTGACACAATATTCAAAAATCTTTAAAACAAATGTAAGCGAGTTCGTTGCTCACTGAAGGGATATAAGGTTTGCATATGTTCAAGAGTAGACAAAGAGAGATAGTTTGAAATAATTAGCTTTCTTGGATTGTTGAAAGAAAATTCTTTGAAGTGCCATTTGCTTGATTCGAGGTTGATAATATAATCGGCAAGTACTTTTACACTGGCAAGAACTTGAACACTGAATGCTATTTCTGTGAAGACAGGGTTTTCATTGATCCCAATACAATTTCCCATAGTCTTGTGAAGTTCTTTCCTTTTTCTTCTCATCTCACTGGGCAATTTTTGTGAAGGCAAGGTTTTCATTGGTCCCAGGAAAATTTCAAATAGGCTCATAAATTTCTTTCCTCCTCCTCCTCCTTCAGTTTTCTGAATTTGAAGTGAATAGGTGAAAGGAGTTATTATTTTGCACTCACTACAAACCCTTATCCACCTGGTGTTAGATTCAGATGGTGTATTCTATTTTTTCTATATATTATGGCCATTTTTGTGACAAAAAGACATGACTAATCTCAGAATCCAAAACTTCTCGAAAAAAACATGTCTTGCCTGCAAAGTAATGACAAAAAAATAACTTTATTGAAGACACAATTTTTCTCGTGGCGTCCTATCATGCAAATTTATTTTTGCGTCTTGGAATAGCATAAAAGCAAAGTGCCAGCAGCACCAATTGTCAGGAGTCATTCGGAGTAATAGAGCTGGATATATGGATTGACAAACAGACAGACTAAAAAGGAAGTACAGAGAATAATGACTGAGTTGGTGTCTGTTTCACAACTTCCCAGTGTAACAGCGCACAGAAAGGAGTCACATAATTCATTTTTTAAAGGTGACAAAGAAGAAAAAAAAACTGGCCTCCTGGCGAGCAAAGCACTGCACTTTTTGACCCCCCCATCATCATTTTTTTTTCTCCTACAATTTTGCTTAATGCTTGTATTTTATTGATTTCAGATAAAAATATACTTTAATTATTTCCGACTATTGTTCTCATCTCTTTTGTTATGTTATTGTGGACAAAACATTTTGGCCATGTATTTTCTGACCATCATCAGGTGTCGATTGTTTGGCTGATAAGGAATATCTGTTTATTATCGTTATTTCCTTCCTGCTGAACCATTGTTTCAATACTTGATCCAGGGATTGAACTCGCAGCCACTAGATGACTCTCACATGTGCTTAACTAACTCGTATAATCTACTATGTCAACATTCAGAAGATGGTGTATTTTTGATGTGTCAGTTGAGAACTTTGAAATTTCCCAACATATTTTAGAGATATTTTCTCTTTCTAAAATTTTAGTTTATAACCCTAGAAAACTAACCATCAATTAAAGTTACACCACTACTAACCATGGGTATATCACACCCGATTTTGAAAATATCGAAAAAAAGGATTAAATATAAATCTTTATTTAAAATATTTTACATGCAGGCACTTCAAACTTTGTACTTTGAGTTAACATTAATAGGAACTGAAAAACATTTAGGTAAGAAAATCAGGTACTAAAAATTTTAATTAAAGATAGGAAAATTTGCGCTGGGTACTATATACCCATGGTTAGTGTTCTAGGGTTATATATACATATATATATATATATATATATATATATTTATGGATACACTTATTTGAGTAAATGCTCTATTCTTTTCTTTTTTTTTTTTTTTAATTAGACAGTATTAATTACATCTACCAATCTGAATGTTGGAGAAATTTTGTTGAAAATATACGTCTTTTGATAGGAATCAAACAGGTATCTTATATGGAACCGTAATTAATCTTGACATGCTATGACCGTTCAGGCACAGAGAACTTCTGATTAGCGAAGCTCAAATTACTGCATTTAAACACACACCTTCATCGTTTTTTTTTGTTTGTTTTTTTTTTATGAAATCTATCACAGCTGCTCTGAAATTGTAGCCTAACGTAAACAATGACAACATATTTTAACATATTTTCTGTTTATATGTTATTTTTTGTGGATACACTTCTTTAAGTAAATGCTTTATTTTTTAATTAAACAGCATTAATTGCATTTACATTTAAAAGCAGTAATTCAAGCTTTACTAAACTAGGAATTTTTTTGTGGTCGAACGGTCATAGCACGTCAGACTTAATGTAGGTTTGGTATAGGATACAGGTTTGATTCCTATTGGAGGACGCATATTTTCTATGAAATTTCTCTAACATTCAAGCCAGTATAAGTGTATCCATTAAAAAACAAAAAAAAAACGTATAAACAGAAAATATATTAAAATATTTGGCGGATTTAATCCATTTAATATATATATATATATATATATATATATATATATATGTATATATAAAATTTGTGTATTTAGGCAGCAATCCTTCTTTCATGCACATTTCATTGAATACAACAGACAAGGTACTTTGATTTAGTTTTTATTCAATTTCTCATGCGATCTAATAATTTTTTTTCTTTTCAGATGATAAATTGCATAAAAACTGTCTAAATGTTCTTTTAATCCAAGCGCTTTTAGCTATACATTTTGCCATTTTCAAGGATGAAATATTTTAATTGTTAAATAAGAAATAGTTTGTTGCCTGTATGTATTTATATATGTTTTCATTTTTTAAAACATGGTCAAGATATTATGTCCCTGTTCATAGTTGATATTATTGAGTGTTTTTTTTTTTTTTCGTTTTTAAGGCTTCCATTATTTTTAGCCTTTTGCTGCATGTAGATGATGCTATTATATTAGTGTTGTCAACAACAAGTATGTTACGAATAGTGTCCGGTAGGTCTCCATGAATATTTAAATGAGATCTAATTGAGCTATGGTCAGAAAGGTGTAGAGTGAGTCTGCGTGTCAAACATGTTGTAGTGTGGCCTATATAAATATTTTAGAATTTTGATTGATCAAGAATACAATTCATTAATGAACATTTAAATTCATAAATAATATTTGCTCTATTTAATTTTGTTCTAGGAGGTGAATTGTTATTTTTAACTATAAGGTTAGAGGTTTTAAATTTTTTGTAATAAATAATTAATCTAATTTTTTGCTATTGTCAACTGGTGTTGTGCATTTTTTTCTAATGTTCTTAATTCTACTTTAGTCTTGTTTATAATTTTCGTTCAGTTGATTTTTATAAAAAAAAATATAAATGTTATTGTTTTTTCTGTTCTCGTTGTTGCTATTAGCTACCTTAGACAGAAAACGCCTAATATGGAAATCCATTAAATTGATTAGTAAATCTGTTATTAATAAGCATTTGTCTTATGCTGTTTAATTCTTTAAAGAATATAAATATATATATATATATATATATATATATATATATATATATATATATAAAGAATTAATGTATTTTTATTTATTAATCCGCATATTTTTATCCCTATAAACGTTATTTTTAATGCATCCTCGTATTTTAGTATACGTTCCAGTATTTTCAGTATACTGACTTGAATATTCGAGAAATTATTTTTAAAGAATATATATATATATATATATTATTAATATGTATATATATATATATATATATATATATATATATATATATATATATATAGTGTGTGTGTAAAAGATATATTTATATATAGTTGGATTGATGTGAGTTTAGACCCTGTGAAAATTTTTTTTTTCCAATCATCAGACAAAATCAGTTTGTCTGATGACAGAAATGATGAAACCCAGGATCATAAACTCAGATCAGTCCAACTAAACATGTTAGCTTTATTACTGATATTGAGTATTTTCCAATAAGTCAACAGTATATATATATATGCATATATATATATATATATATATATATATATATATATATATATATATATATATATATTGAAATTTATATATATATTATTTATATATTAAATTTCAGAAATGCATTATTCAAAAAAAAAATGGGCTTGAAGATGGAACAGAGCTTACTTTAACTCAATTTAATTCAAATAATTATATTGAAGTTTTTGGCTCTTGTTTTGAAACATGAGACCTCTTATATGTCCGATGAGTTGGAATCATATTTTTAAATAAATAATTATATTTATGCTCTACTTTTGTATCGAGCACTATTTTTTAAAAATAATAATAAAAATACTAAGTAACTTTGGATTATTTACCTAACCAGTTCTTTCCTATTTTCTATATATTTTCACACACATATATATATATATATATATATATATATATATATATATATATATATATATATACACATATATATATATTTATTTTTGTTTTTTAATTAAAGTCCATATTTTCTATCAGGTGAAAATTTCCCAACATAATTCAATGAAATTTTTTACTTAGCAAAATTGATTCTTTCTTCTATATATTGTGAGCATTTCTCTCAAAATCTATTTTCTTGATCTCCATTGAAAACTTGCAAATCTTATAACATATTTCAGTGAAATTTTCACCTATCAAAATGATAATTATAGTTTAGGTTGATGGAAAAAGAGAAGTCATCAACTTAAACTAATATTTAAGGCAAAGCAACAGCAATATGGCAAGACATTCACAAACTGTGAATTGGTATTGACACACAAAAGCAAGTTTGGACAAGTGAACGAAGCGTTCTGACTTCAAGACAGACTTGGACTGAGTCAGATGAAAGCAAGAAATGGCCTATTGGCTAGGGAAAATCCCAGCATGCATTTGTGTGCTTCTGCTTATAAATTGGGGAGGGGTAACTGTATTGTATGTCGATGATGCTACAGTGTAACCCGGATATAAGAGAGTTGTCGGGACCAGAGAAGAAGTCTCTTATATCCGGGTTTAGTCTATTTTATATACATTAACACAGGCTCTAATTTGGGACCAGAGAAAATCTCTCTTATATCTGGGTTTCTCTTATATCCGGGTCTCTTATATCCGGGTTACACTGTATTATATTTGCATGTATTTTCTGGGCATCATCAGGTGTCCATTGTTTGGCTGATAAGGAATATCTGTTAATATGGGAACCAACATTAATGAGGGTGCTGATGGGAGGAATTTTTCAGTTTACAGAATATAAAAAATATTTTGTCATATATACATAATAATTTTTTATTTCAACACTGTGTGGGGGTATTATGAAGGAGAGAGTTTCACCAGAACAATACCATAATACCCATCAGTTGAAGCATACCAGTTGGTGAGCCTTTGCAACAATCAACAAAGCACAGCCCTGTAAAATATCACACAGGACATAGTGCCACATCATTTTGTACCATGAAAATGATGGCACTCATACAGACCTTTATCATGTGTGAATAAACTGAATCCAATATATGTGCTTTGTATTACTTGTTCTCAATAATTTTTTTATAGGTGGTGATAAGACTTTCTGTACGTAAAACAGAGGTGGAGGGTCCTAATAAAAGTGAGTTGGAAAATATTTCAAAGGGTCAAAAATATGAAATTAATAAACAGTTGATCTTGGTGGAGTTGAAAATTTCCTTTTTTTTTTTTTTTTTTTAAAATAACAAAATGAATTCAAAATAAACCTTCTCCATTATCTATTCGACACCAAGGAGTAACAAGTAAATATCTTTTTTTTCTTAAGGCTTAATCTGCAATATGAATGAAGTCAAATTTTTTCCTGATCACGTAAGTGGAAATATCTTCTAAAATGCAATAATCTCTGCTTCTCTTTATTCTCATTTACAGAATAGCTCCGATATTTCAGCATACACGTATGAACGTACCTTAATGATGGAACAAAGAACACAGTTGTTAAACAACATGCGGCTTCAGAAGGAAACGGTATGGATTTTTTAATTTCTTTATGGTTTTTTTACAAAATGGTATTGTCATAATTAAAATCATTGATCATCATTACTTACTGTATTTAATAACATATTAAATCCAGTGTTAGGATCTTCTGTGTGATGGTAATAACACTGGTAGGCTCAAGTTTACCCAGATGCTGCAGACCAGAGGTCAGCAGCCTTTTATTAACTATGTGCCGACTTAGCATTTTAAAATCGTTCAGTTTAACAACAGCATACCTATTTTTTATACAAGTCAAGGTCAATATACTTGTTCTACAATATAATTTATATAGTAATATATAGTATATATACTTTAGTATATATTAAAATTGAAACCGTTAAATATCTTCTTTGATAATGCCAACCATTTTTCCAGCAATCTTAGCAATGGATCGTATATCCGAGTTAAGGTCAGGGGTGAACTTGAGTCCCAATGGTCAAAATCAGGGATCAGCAACCTTTTGCTGACTATGTGCCGACTTAGGGTTTTAAAATCATTCAGTGTGCCACCAGTATACGTATTTTTATACAAGTCAAGGTCAATATAAATGTTGTACAATATATTTTATATAGCAATATATAGTATATATCAAAATTGAAACAGGTAAATATCTTCTTTGCGTTGTAGTGGTTATTGATTTGAACTTCACGATGTCATTTGCAGCTGCGTACCATTGGAAAATGCTTGGTGTAACATGCGTCTCATAGGTTGCCAAGCCCTGGTGTAGACAATCATTGCCTGTACCTAAAGTAACTCGGTAACACTTTAATATTAAATTTAAATAGGGGAGACTTACATATGAAGTTTCTGGTAGGTTAATGTTTACCCAGATGCCATAAATTACTAATAATTGTACCTAGCCCAACTCCAAAATACTGTAATATTAAATTTAAATAGCAGGTTTAAACTGAAGTGGATATATCTTGTTGCACGAAGTATGTTTGGGTATAATTAAGTCACCATTATGTTGTGGGAATCAACACATGTAGTGAACAATTATGTAGAAGCAAGTGAGTCAGAGTGACTTGCATCGGGTGCAAAGGAAAATAAGTTCCTTACCTCAATACATGACACAAAGCAGCGGCATTTTGTTACTAGAAAATGGCATGAATCTCACCTCTCCACTTTAGATTATTCCAGAAGTGTTTATTCTGTAACATTAGCTTTTATACAGCTTAACATGGTTTGACTAATAGCAAGTCTTTTGCTGATTGGTGGGACTGGAGGATGCCATTTGACTAACTGAGGACAAAGTGAAGAACACTAATTGGTCAGTTGGCTATGGTGTTGGCATGATAAAAGACAGCTGAAGCAGTGAGAATCAGAGCGATTTTTACATTGGTGATATGTGCAGGAATTCAATAATTATTTGGTGTTGTACGAATGATTCAATTTTGCTCTTGTCAAAATATCCTCCTTTAACCTTGATTACTGCAGCTCAAATTTTTGGTATGCATTGCAAAAGTTCTCAAAGTATAAATTGATATCTGTCTATATTTCTAGGATGAGGTATTATGTACACTATTTACATTATTTGGACTATTGTCCTTATCTTTGTCACTATATTTATTACAACGTTTCCACCATTGTACACTCCGGCCTTCTTCAGGTGGTTGGAATGTCAAACTGAACCCTTTATTTCACTCACAGATGTCCTCAAGAACACATGGCACAGTGGATAAAGGTGTTAGTTAGATCCAGTGACAGGACCCACAGAGTATGAGTTTAATACCTAGTTATGGCAGTGGAGATCTTTCAGAGGGAAATTAACAGGCGATAACTGATATCCATTAAACATAGCATGTGGAACTAGTTAGTGATGTGTGGGGTAACTCAAGAATGGTGGATTGAAAAAGAAGTATTTAGTGTTGTATGAACAATGTCAGAGGAACATAAGCACATTTACGCTACAACACTTTAGGATATTTAATATTCATGGGTTCCTGGAGCATTTATCCCACAAAAAATATTAGTGGACTCAATGTGAGTCCAGGTAAAAAAAAAAAAAAAAGTACAAAACATTGAATATAAAACAAGCAACAATACATGTTATTAACATAAGGAATTGTATGTTTACACAATTGAAATGAAGGGAAAAATGCATTAAAACAAGCTATAAGAAGAATGAGCTTGTCTGTGTGATACACACGTGTGTATGTGCAAAAGAGTTCAAAAGTAAAAAGAGGACCAAGGAAGCGAAAACGCCTCAGTGGCAGCATTCTTATCTATGTGCAACTATATCTGAAAGCCAGAGTTAAAAATAGCTAGAAAGAGAGAGAATATGATTGCCTATTTATAAGGCTTCAAGAGCGCTCTCTAGCAGGCATTTTGGCAAAGCCAAATGGGATGAACCACGGCCTCATAGGTTTATGTTTACTTAGACAACATAGATGACCAGTGATTGTACATCTCTCTCTAACACTGTAACATTAAATGTAATAAGGATGTTTTATATAAATGACTAAGGTTTTTGGTAAGCTAATGTTTACCCAGATACCATAGATGACCAGTGCCTGTGTCTTCACTAACTTCCTAATACTGTAATATTAAATGTAAATAAAAGGGATCATCTAGGTCATATTTTGTTTGAAATTTTTTTGTTTTCAGCCAAGCTGGATAAATTTCAAGCTCAAATTGTTTTTATTTTGAATGATGTATTAAATGATGGTAATTAAGGAGACACGGTGGAGTAATGGATAGTGGCTCCGATTCAGGAATTGGAGAGCCGAGTTCTAATTCCAGTTGAATCCATTATATTCACTTACGTGATAATACCCTTGGGAAAGGTATGAATCATCCTCTTCTCCCCCCAGCTACAGGTAAATAGCAGAACAGACCGGGTTCTATAGCCTTGGATAGCAACTGGTCTACCCTGGAAAGAAATGGCAACCTACTGCTTGAAAAAATCTGCTCTGTCAGTCATGTATTAAAAGATACATGATTGCCTAAGCGTGTATCATGCATGGCACATAACTGACTGAATAAATTAAATAAATTGTGCTGGTTATATAGTTTAATCATTTTTTTATTTATCTCTATAGCAAGTATATATTTGGCAAATATGGATAAACATACCTGCAATAAGACATATTATAAAAAGGACAGTTTTTCCCATGACACCACGTTTTTAATGACCTTCACTATTCAGTAATGTTTATTGCTTGGGCAAAAATTTCCAAAACTCTTTTTAAAAAAATAAAAGCTGTTTTTGTTTTTTTGTCATTTTTTTTTTTTTTTGTCTTTTTGTTTTGTTTTTTGTCTTTTTGTTTTGTTTTTTGTCTTTTTGTTTTGTTTTTTGTCTTTTTGTTTTGTTTTTTGTCTTTTTGTTTTGTTTTTTGTCTTTTTGTTTTGTTTTTTGTCTTTTTGTGTTTTTTTGTAGTTTTTTTTGTTTGTTTTTTGTGTTTTTTGTGGTTTTTTTTTTATTGTTTTTGGTAATTTTTTTATTTTTGGGGGTTTGCGGTGGGGGTTGGGTTTGTTTAATTTTTTTTTGATTTTGGGTTTTTTAAATGTTTTGGGGTTTTTTTTGCTGGAAACTTTTAGTATCATACAATTACTCTATCAAGAATAACTCATTTTCAAAGAAATTTTTTTTAATTTTATGTTTTTTATATATGTATAACATGTGCAAAGTTTTCTGTTTGATATTTTTTTTTTTGTAATTTGTCAGGCCCAATGAGTTATTGATTTTTTTTTTTTTTTTTTTGAATTTCTCAGGTCCAATCAATTATTGATTTTTTTTTTTTTTTATACTTTCAGGCCCAATCAATTATTGACCGTGCACACAACCCTAGTCATTTGGAATCTAAGGATGCTACTCTCGAGACGGTGGTCGAGGAAAGCGTTGAATGCAATGAATCTGCCAATTCATTAGAACTCGATCGAAGCCAGTACACCTTCTCCCCATCTGAGGGTCGGTCAGTTGCCAAGGAACTCGGGAAAGAATTGTTTCAAATGAAGCCGTGAGTAGCTTTTTCTTCCCTTCTTTCAATGTTTATTAGGCCATGAAACATTTTGGCATTATTACAAATGGTTTTTATCATACTTAGCAAAACAATATTTGGTTTTGTCTTATGTTTTCCAAGATATATATATAACTTCTTCATATCTTATTAGGACACATAGTTTTTGTACATTTTTAAAAAAATACTTATTTATTTTTAATATAATATTGTGCTAATGAATTTCTTTATACTATTGCTCCAGAGGCACTTAAAGTAGTGTTACTAAATGTGATTGTTGTAAAAGCATCCAAGGAGGAGGTAACAGGAGCATATTATGAGGATATGTAGGATAGACAATAAGATCAGAGTGATCAGAGAAGCAGCCAAAAATATATTACAATAAAAAGTTAAAAGTGAAATGCGATGTCTGAAAATTAAAAGCTCACATAGTACAAAAAAGTCTTTGATAATGGCTATCAGTAACTAAAAGAACTTGTACATTGTATAATTCATATCTAAATAGAATCCAAGAAAATGACTGGAAATGTAGAAAAATAAGTCCTATTTAACGATAAACATTTATTGGTCTTTAACCAAATTATATGGTAAAATACGGTTTCAGGTATACTGTGTTTCTGGTTTAAAGTGCTTGATATCAGGGATAGAGCATATGTAAATATAAAATTGGACAGGCAACAGTCTGTTTTATGCTTGAACGCAATCATCATGACCTGACAATTTCCACTCAAGCATGAAACAGATTGACTTCAATGTCCATTTATATTATGGCTGTCAACTCATTATCTGAGCATTATTTCACATATTCAGATGAGATATATAGGGATTGATTCTTTTTCTGCATTAACATTAATAAAAACCCTATGAAATATTTGTTTGTAAGTAATTGTTACTTGTAAATAAATGCTTAATTTTACCGTTTATTATTACCGTTTGTTATTATGGTTTGATTGCTAATTCTCTAGATATGATTTCAGTGTGGAAAAAAATCTTGTTTGTAACAAAGCATGACTACAAAGTAATTGATAATGGAAGCTGCAGAAATGAACAGTCTGTGGAAGCCTGAAATTCTTGTAGCTGACTCTCTTGTGTCAGAGCTTTATCAAAGATACCATTTTAATAGAAGTTGGAACAATTTTTTTTCATCTGACTGGATATGAAGCTATGGAAACTGAAGTTCTTTGAATGAGATAATTCTTTGAAATGAATGCTGCTAAAATGTCTGGAGAATTCTTACTGATTATAAACTATCACAATCACTCATGCTCCAGCAACAGATTATATGGAAAAATATATCTTGTAAATATTCAGTGAAGATATTTATAAACTCAACCAAATTTGGCACTGAACTTAAACCTACAATAACACACCATGAGGACTGCTTTGACTGAAGCAGCGTGTTAAATAATAGTTTAGCATTATTATTTTTAAGTGGATTGGTATCTCTGCTTGGACTTGAGATTGACCTTTGAGGTCAGATGGAAGCCAAAATATGGGAAGTTGATTTTGATTGGCTGAGCCAACATGGGAATGATGCAGCTATAGAAAGGTTTTTCAGACAGTTGAGTCTTATATATCAAACCATGTAGACATGTCTTTTTTTCTGGAATGGCTCCCCAGTGGAGGAGGAATGAACATTAATAAAATAGTTAAGATAAAATTCTCTGTGTTGAAGTTCTTTTATCTCTGAACTCAAAACAACTAGTGATCACCAACCAAGAGAGAAGAATGCAACTTTATTATCAAACTGACATTGTTACCCAAGACTACCCACACCTGGATTCTATGCAAAAAGTGTACAGACTTGTATTTAAATTGCAATAATAGATGGTTATTTAAGAGAATGGGTGGGCTTATGGAATCCATAAAGTTTGTCTACTTAAAATTGTTGTCCTTGGACAAAGGCATGATACCATTTATTTTTCCTTCAGGCAAGAGTAAAATAACAAGGCAAACTGAACTCAACAGCCTTGGAAGACAACTCTAAATTCATTTGAGAAAGGCATGAATCCATTCAGCTATGGCTTAAATAACAGACTAGCTTCTTAAGCCTTGGTTGGCAACCAGTCTAGGAGAAGAACACAATTATAGAAATAAATATTTTAATAAAATTTGTGGCAGATATAATGAACCAGAGTCGATTGGCAGAAATGGTGAACAGGACTTGATTTATTCTCGACGAAAGAAAGTTCATCTTTGTCTGGTATGTAGGACTTCGATTTGAAAGAAGGCGATTACGTCGTTCCAGCAAAAGAGACTCTTCTTCTTTGTTGCCCTACTGTGTATAATATTAGTGTGGTTGGACGGAATTGAGAAGGGACATCCGGGTGTATTAGTGTTCCATTCTGAGGTGCCTGTATGTTTATTATGTCTATAATCCGGGTGAATGATTGGTGATTCCCTATTATAAGTAAACCATTGTGGAGATGAGAGAGATCTTCTGTAGGGGGTACATCGTACTATACATACAGTTGTGACAGGAGGAATGAACAACGAAGTGCATACAGGGAAGAGAGCAATGAAAAATAACAAGGAAGAAACAATCTGAAATTGCATCCCAAAACAGACTTGCTAATTTCTTTTGACCACAAAATTCAAAAGGTTTGGGGCCCACAGTCTGAACTTAATAATTAACTAATTAACCCATTGGTTCATAGCATCCAATATTTTTTTAAATTTAAAAATCTTATATAAAAATAATTTAAAATCTTCTATGATTACTATTAGGCAAAAAGATAGATTAGAAAAAAAAAATGCTAATATTTTAAAGATATTTTATGTAGCAATGGGTTAATTTCGTTATTTAATATTGAATATCTAATAACTCTTCAAGAAAACAGTCAGGTTTTGGGGAGTATAGAACTACTCAGTTCCAGATCCAACCTAATATTGGGTGGTAACACCTGTTAGGGTCCCAGTTATTGCAAATAATAACACACACACCCCCCAAAAAAAACACTATAAAAATACCAGCAATAAATTTTCATGTAAGAAAAAATTACTAGTAATACATTTTATAGCAAAATGGCGAACAACATATTTTATCTGTAGTTGAAGGCATACAACTGCATTCAAAATATTTAGTTGAAGCCATAAAATTGTTCAAATTATTTATATTTCAGCATGAAATAACCCATAGAGGTGTTGATATGCCGCTAAACAAAATCAACCAACCAACAAAACATATTTATAGTAAAATGACCAACAATACATTTTATCTGTAGTTGAAGGCATACAGTTACATTCAAAATATATTTAGTTGAAGCTATAAAACTGTTCAAAATATTTAGATTTCAGCATAAAGATGTTGATGTGCCACTAAACAAAATCAATGAAACAACCAACATGAAAAGAACTTTTTCATGACATCAATCTATATAATATATGACAATTTCTTAAATCAAACTGTATTCTAAAATATACCTCCAATAAAACTACAACATAAAGCATATACATCGCCACCTGTAATCCACACAAACATGTACATACACAAAATATGCCATGTACTAAATTGTGACAGTAAGATAATGCATTTCATATTTTTATTACTTCAAAGCTTCCAAGAAAATTAAATTTCAGCATTAAATAGCCTATAAGGAGTTATGCCATTTAAACAAACAAATCAAATTAAAAAAAAAAAAATTCTAGCACCAAGGGAGGTAATAAATTAGTTTTGAAAAAGGCATGAAACCTTCAATTTTTAGCTACCCTGTAGATTTCTTTGAAATCTACAGGGTAGCTCCCAAATTTTGACCTTGAGTATAGGCAAGTAGTTAGAACATTCACTTTCTGACCATCAGCTTTTTATTCCTCAAATTTCATTAACTGGCCTATTAAATCTATATACATACAGGGTGCAATAGATAAATTGTAATCTATACCACGCAAAAATGAAAATTATACGGACATCTTTTAACAGATATATTTACCAAAATTACACAAAAATATCTTAAACTACTAAAGAGTACATTTATCTAATAAAATCACGAGGAGTTTGGAAGCCTCTGCAAATCTCATTAAGCTGGTGAATGCTGCCATAATCCTTGCCTTCAGTTCCTCTTTCATGTTACAAAGAGTTTTTGTTGGTCTCTCGCTCAACTGCGCCCCACACATAATAATCAAGGGGGGGTTACAGTCTGGGGATTTAGGTGGCCAGATGCAAGGGGTGATATGGTTGCAAAAATTGACTGACAGCCATGACTATGACTGGATTCTCCTTTTTGTGTAGCATTGTGCAGTCCTGTATCCAGACATAGGATCAACCAGCAGACAACCTCTTGTCACAGAGCAGCAGCAACACCACCTCAAGACAATTGATGTAGGCTTCCATGATGAATTTGAGGCCTTTTGGGATAATGAATAAAGGCATAACATTACCATCATGCCATCCAAACGACTTTGTAATCACCATTACTCGTCTCTTTCTGAATCCTCTGCACTGTCCTCAGATTGACACCTAAACACTCTTCAATGTTTATTATTGAATCTTCTGGTGCAAATGCCAAGCAGTTCAGTATGCCATTTCCAAATTTCTGATGGAGTTAATTGTGTCATGGTTCTCTTTTACTCACAAATGGTACCAAATTAACCGTACTATACTGTACAGTTGACAAAGTCAAAAACAAACATGCATGTATGTGTCGATATTTCTGAGATGAGGTACCTGTTGTCAACTGTACAGTATAGTACGGTTAATTTGGTACCATTTGTGAGTAAAAGAGAACCATGACACAATTAACTCCATCAGAAATTTGGAAATGGCATGTAAATAGTGTACACACTATTTACATTATTCGGACTATTGTCCTCATCTTTGTTGCCATATTTATTACGTATTGGTCATTGTACACTCCAGCCTTCTTCAGGTGGTTGGAATGTCGAACAGAACCCTTTATTTCACTCTAAACTGTTCTAGTTCCACGTGCCATGTTTAATGGATGTCAGTTATCAGTTATCTCCTGTTAATTTCCCTCTGAAAGTTCTCCACTGCCTTCGCTGGGTATTGAACTCACCCACTTTGTTTCCTGTCACTGGATCTAACTAACGCCATTATCCACTGTGCCATGTGTCCTTGCATGTGCAAAATTAAAAATATAAAACTGCAACAATTTATCCGTTGTATATATGAGAGAGTGAGTAATAGTCATGATATATTTTTTTAATAAATTTTACTTGTTATCTATATAAGCCTGTTTGGCTTCATGCTCTCTCTCTCTCTCCTTTATTTTGCATCCCTCTCCATCTCTCTCATTTTATCTTTGAATAATTTATGTTGTCTTTACTTCTTTCTTTATGGCTTTGTTACTTATTTATCATGCCTGTCCCTCTCTGCTTTATTTAACATACTTATACATCCCTTTCTCTCTCTATCCCTCTCTCTCTCTATCCCTTTCTCTCTCTCTCTCTATCCCTTTCTCTCTCTCTCTCTATCCCTTCTCTCTCTCTCTATCCCTTTCTCTCTCTCTCTCTCTCTCCCTCTCCCTTTCTCTCTCTCTCTCTCCCTCTCCCTCTCTCTCCCTATCTCTCTCTCGCTATCTCTCTCTCCCTATCTCTCTCTCCCTCTCTCTCTATCTTCTCTCTCTCTCTATCTCTCTCTCTCCCCTTTCTCTCTCTCTCTCCCTTTTCTCTCTCTCTCTTTCTCTCTCTCTCTCCCTTTTCTCTCTCTCTCCTTTCTTTCTTTCTTTCTCTCTCAAAAAAAAATCTTTCTTTCTCTCTCTCTCCCTTTCTTTCTTTTTCTCTCTCTCTCCTTTCTTTTTTTTCTCTCTCTCCCTTTCTTTTTTTTTCTTTCTTTCTCTTCTCTCTCCTCCCTTTCTTTCTTTCTCTCTCTCTCTCCCTTTCTTTCTTTCTCTTTTTCTCTCTCCTCTTTCATTCTCTCTCCTTTCTTTCTCTCTCTCCTCCCCTTTATTTCTCTCTTTCTCCCTTTCTTTCTCTCTTTCTCTCCCTTTCTTTCTCTCTCTCCTTTCTCTTTCTCTCTCTCTCTCCCTTTCTTTTCTCTCTTTTCCTTTCTCTCTCCCTTTCTCTCTTTCTTTTTCTCTCTTTCTTTTTTTCTCTTCTCTCTTTCTCTCTCTCTTTCCTTTTCTCCCTCTCTTTCTCCCTTTCTTTTTTTCTTTCTTTCTCTCTCTCCCTTTTCTTTCTCTCTTTCTTTCTCTTTTCTCTTTCCCTTTCTTTCTCTTTCCCTTTTTCTCTCTCTCCTTTCTTCTCTCTCCTTTCTTTTCTCTCTTTTTTTTCTTTCTCTCTCTCTCCCTTTCTTTCTTTCTCTTCTCTCCCTTTCTTTCTTTCTCTCTCTCTCCCTTTCTTTCTTTCTCTCTCTCTTTCTTTTTTTTTTCTCTCTCTTTCTTTCTCTCTTTCTTCCTTTCTCTCTTTTTCTCTCTCTCTCTTTCTTTCTTTTTCTCTCTTTTCTCTCTTTCTTTCTCTTTCTCTCTCCCTCTTTCTCTCTTTCTCCCTTTCTCTTTCTTTTTTTCCTTTTTTTTCTCCCTCTTTCTCACTTTTCTCTGTTTTTCTTCTTTTTCTTTCTTTCTTTTTCTCTCTCCCCTTCTCTTTCTTTCTTTTCTTTTTTCTTCTCTCCCTTTCTTTCTTTTCTTTCCCTTTTCTCTTTCTCTCTCTCCCTTTCTTTTTTTTTTCTTCTTTCTTTCTTTCTTTCTCTCCTTTCAGAAAAGAAATTTCTTTCTTTCTTTCTTTCTTTCTTTCTTTCTTTCTTTCTTCCTTTTCTTTCTTTCTTTCTTTTTTTTTCTTTTTTCTTTCTCTCTTTTCTTTCTTTCTTTTTCTTTTTTTCTCTCTCTTTCTTTCTTTTCTTTTTTCTTTCTTTCTTTCATTTTCTTTTCTCATTTTTTCTTTCTCTCTTTTTCTTTTCTTTCTTTCTCTCTCCCCTTTCTTTCTTCCTTTCTTTCTTTTTCTTTCTCTCTCCTTTTCTTTCTCTCTCTCCCTTTCTTTCTCTTTCCTTTCTTTCTCTCTTCCTTTTTTTCTCTCTCCTTTCTTTCTCTCTCTAAAATTTCTATTTCCCCCCTCTCTTTATCTGCCTTATTTAATGTACCAGTCACTCTTTGCTTGATTTAGCATGCTTGTGCATATTTGTCTCTCTCTCGTGGACCAATTCAGCATATTTGTCTCTATTTATTTCTCCATGACTTAATATGCTGGCCTGATTTTTTCTTTCTTTCTTTCTTTCTTTCATTTAAACTGTTAAATAAATTTTTCTTTTTTTTCTTTTTTTTTCACTCATTAATATTCTTTCTTTTTGTTTGTTTCTTTTTTTTTCCATGTTGCAGTGACAAGAAAAATGTCCGAAGAATGCACACTGCTGTGAAACTGAATGAAGTTATTGTTGAAAAGTCTCATGAGTCCCAATTGGTCATCTTAAATCTTCCCACGCCTCCAAAAACAGAAGCTGGAGAGCAGAATTGTATCCTTCACCACCAATGATGACTTTTTTCACCACCATTCAAATGATTTTTTTTTTAGAATTTAATGACAGATTTTTTTTTCCAACTGATTTCAGTCAATTTCTAGAACTTAATGACAGATTTTGTTTTTCCAACTGATTTCAGTCAATTTCTAGAACTTAATGACAGATTTTTTTTTTTCCAACTAATGATTTTGTTTTTCAGTCAATTTCTAGAACTTAATGACAGATTTTTGTTTTTCCAACTGATTTCAGTCAATTTCTAGAACTTAATGACAGATTTTGTTTTTCCAACTGATTTCAGTCAATTTCTAGAACTTAATGACAGATTTTGTTTTTCCAACTGATTTCAGTCAATTTCTAGAACTTAATGACAGATTTTGTTTTTCCAACTGATTTCAGTCAATTTCTAGTCCAGTAGTAAACATTTAACTTAAGATCTAAGTCTAATAAAAGATGAAAGCGAAGTTGAATAAAATTGTGGAAAATCAGTTTAGGAGGTTACCAACGAAATAGTTCTTACCAGCTAAAGTGCAGGAAAATGGAAGATTCAATATACACCCAGATGCTTGCAGAGTCAAAGATTTTCTTGTAGAAGAAACAAATATTATTGGTACTACAAAATGACTGAAAATTAAATTGCAACGCTCTGATTTAACTTGATATCAATGGGTTTTTTTTGGGGGGGGGGTCACAATGGTGTCCACTCTGTTCAAGGCTAGAGAGCCACTCTAGGTAGTGTGTTACAGAGTAAGAGGCAAAATTATAAGGGTATAACACAATTTATGGAGAACTGAGACCAAGCTCAAACAAAAACGATAACAGTTTGCCAGTCACTACCACCAAGCGGACAGGGTAATTGTCTCATCCTTACTCCTATAGCATCCTTCTGGAAGTGTCTTCTCAAGAAAATTGACTTTCCCAGAAACCATAGATCATGGCTCAGGGTTGCACATTGGGGATCTGGAGACATCAACGCAAGATCAAACAGTGTGGAAAGTGATTGTCAATGGAGTTTCGATCAACTATAAGGAGGTCAAAGGTTGATAATGATAATAACAGCACATGGTATTCCCAAGCAGTTATCCATCTAGGTACTGACCAGGCTCAACATTGCTTAACTTAGGTGATTGTAAGGGAATACTGCAGTTTATACTGCAACTCTACCGAACAGACCATGGTTACAATTTCTGGGGGAGCATATAATCTAGGCTGATCAGTGGTTGAACAAGGTCAGTACACTCAAACTCTGTCACAATGACTTGAGACTTTGTGATAGCACAATCATCAATGGCTACTGAACAGTTTTCTTTATTCAATTTCACTTACAAGTCGTGGGTCAGACTGTGACACTTCCTCACTGGACATTTGGATTGTCTTCCCAGATTAATTGATTCATTTTCTATGGATTATCAAGATTTTGCAGGTTATTTAAAGCCAGAAAATATTTTTAGATTTTTAAGAATTTTTTTTGAAGATAATAATGATTTAGTAATAAAAATCTTACTAATTAACCCATAGCTGGATGTTGAAGAAGTGGATTCGTACCTTTCCCATGGTTATTTGAGCATAAGTGAATGTAATGAACCCAACTGGAATTGGAACTCAGCTCTCTGATTAACAATTCTGAACTATTATTCATTACACCGCCCACAAATTCAAGCTTATAGCATGGGATGTGTGTAACAAAATTCTCAACATTTTGTGCTCGAATCATCCTCTTTAAAAGTCCAAACCTTTTGACCATTGATTGAACCAGTCCTACTGTATGGATCAGAAACTTGGACATTATCTGTTCGTCTTGAACGACGACTAGATGGAACTTATAGAAATCTACTTAGAAAAATCCAGAACATCAGTTGAAGATCCTATGCAATGCTTAACACAATAAATGGAGAACTGAGATCAATCCCTCTTAAATTCAAACAAAAACGATTTTACTCCTATGGCATCATTTCTGGAAGTGTCTTCTCATGAAAATTGACTTTCCTAGAAACCATAGCTCATGACTCAGGGTTGGAGATTGGAGATCTGGGGACAGCAATGCAGGACCGAACAGTGTGGAAAGGGATTGTCAATGAAGTTCTGACCAACCATAGGGAGTTTGAAGGATGGTATGTTGGAAGATAACGATTGACCCTAGGCAAAACAAGTCTCAGCTGTAAAGGTCTGAACTGGTTGAAGGAATGTAGTTCATCTGAACACTTTCTGTGGAAAGAGTGATAGAGCAGCAAGAGACTTGTGATATTTCACCTGTGAGAAAGGGGTTTAAGGGTGGAAAATAATTTGTCACCCACAAGAACACAGATATTTTTGGCATCTATCAAGCCTGGAAAGGGAAGACTGAATTTTATCATGAGTAGATATTATGTCGAGGAGGCATGGTGGAGTAATGGATAGCGGCACAGATTGAGGAATTGGAGAGCAGAGTTCAAATTCCAGTCGAATCCCTTACATTCACTTACATGCTAATACCCTTAGAAAAGGTATGAGTCCTGTTCTCCCCCCCCCCAGCTATGGGCAAATAGCAGGATAGAATGAGTTCTATAGCCTTGAATAGCAACTGGTCTACCGTAGAAAGAAATGGCAACCTACTGCAGGAAAAAATCTGCCTTGTCAGTCATCGAAAGATACATGATCGCCTAAGGGTGTATTACACATGGCACATAACTGACTGAAAGTTTGACCCAAGATCTGAAGAGGTTAAGATTGTAGCAACCATGGAAGCATGCTCTCGGGAGTTTGTTCCACAAAGCAACAGTTCTTGGGAAGAAGCTGTTCAAATGGAACTTCCTCTTTACTAATGGAATACAAAGAAAATAGTGATTCATCCCAGTGTGTGTGTCACAGCAGGTTTTAGTTGTGAACTGGTGAAACTAAAGAATGTAGCTCGTGCAGACATTTTCCAACAAAATAGTGATAGAAGCGTTCGGCTAGCAACATTTAATCTGTGGGGAAGTGGTTATAGAGTTGAAAATAATTAATCACCCACAAGACCCCGTAGGGGCTTTTGAATGCTATTCAGAGAGGCAAGAAGGGTTAGTTCCATCCTTGATTATGTGACAATCACAGTGGAGTAATGGATAGTGGCTCGGACTGAGGAACTGGATAGCTGAGTTCAAATTCTAGTCGAATCCATTACATTCACTTACATGCTAATGCCCTTGAGAAAGGTATGAATACTGCTCTTTTCCCTGCAGCTATGGGTAAATAGTAGAATTCTATAATCTTGGACGGCAACTGGTCTACCGCAGAAAGAAATGGCAACCTACTGCAGGGGAAAATCTGCCTCGTCAGTCATGTATTGAAAGATATATGATCGCCTATGCGTGTATCACGTATGGCACATGACTGAGATAGTATGTGAACGCCCTTCATAGTATGTGCCATTGGTACAGATAAGTAACTAAACATTTAGAAAATAAATAAAGATGACTAGGAAGAAGTTAGAAGAATGCAAATGAAGTTTTATTTTCTAGAAAGAGAACTTGCTAACAAAGTCTAGAAATGTGTTCCATGCCTTCTCCCTGACTCTGAAAAGGAAATCTAGTATAGGTTACAAAAGTAATATACTTTTCTTTTTTTATTTTCAAATTGGTATCATGCCATGCAAGGCAGTAAAGCCACTAAGACACAATGGGTTACATGGCATGGAAGAATTAGCAACAGAAACATTAATAATGAGGGAGAAGAGAAAAGAGTATTAGATAGCAATTGACATTGCATTTAAATTTTTGCAGATCAAAGTTAGCTGGAAAGCATGGAGCCAGAAGAGATCAACAAGTGAGAAGTGTAAGAAAAGAAACTGTTAGCATAGAACTTATGGCTACATCTAGCTGGCTCAAACGTAAATTGATGAAATCTCCTTGCCAGTCTACTGCATATTTTTTTTGCTAAATAAAGAGAAAAGCATTGAAAAACAAATCTTTATATGTCAGAATGAAAATATTTTAAAAATCACAAATTGTCTTGGCATATGAATAATGTAGGACATTATTTACTTAATTTTGTTATTTCTTTTTTTTTCTATTTCCTCTTTTCTCTCTCTTCTCTTTTCCTCTTTTCCTCTTTTTCTCTTTTCCTCTTTTCCTCTTTTCTCTCTCTTCTCTTTCTTTTTTCTCTTTTTCTCTTTTTTCTCTTTTTTCTCTTTTTCTCTTTTTTCTCTTTTTTCTCTTTTTCTCTTTCTTTTTTCTTTTTCTCTTTCTTTTTTCCTTTCTTCTCTTTCTTTTTTCCTTTCTTCTCTTTCTTTTTTCCTTTCTTTCTTTCTTTTTTTTTCCTTTTCTCTTTTTTCTTTTTTTCCTTTCTTTCTTTCTTTTTCCTTTCTTCTCTTTCTTTTTCCTTTCTTCTCTTTTCTTTCTTCTCTTTCTTTTCCTTTTTTTCTCTTTCTTTTTTCCTTTCTTCTCTTTTTTTCCTTTCTTTCTTTCTTTCCTTTCTTTCTTTTTCCTTTCTTCTCTTTCTTTTTTCCTTTCTTCTCTTTCTTTTTTCCTTTCTTCTCTTTCTTTTTTCCTTTCTTCTCTTTCTTTTTTCCTTTCTTCTCTTTCTTTTTTCCTTTCTTCTCTTTCTTTTTTCCTTTCTTCTCTTTCTTTTTTCCTTTCTTCTTTTTTTATTTCTTCTCTTTCTTTTTCCCTTTCTTCTTTTTCCTTTCTTCTCTTTTTTTTCCTTTTTCTCATTTCTTTTTCTCTTCAACTTTTTATTGCATTTCTTTCTTTTTACCATTTTTCATTTGTGTTTCCTTTTCTCAACTGTTGTTGTTCCTTGACCAATTTCCCCAAAAGATATGGAATTCTTGGAGGTGCTTACAGAAGGCCTGGACCGAGTGATGATGGTGCGAGGCAGCGGTCGTGAAGTGGTGACCATTTATTCTTAGACCAGAGTTGAGGCTACGGAAATAATTGTAATAATCATAATGATGATCACAACAATAATGAGTGTAAAAGATGAAAACAAAACAATGAATTAGTGAAGACAGTGATAAAGAAAAGAAATGTTTTTATGGTTGAGAGAGAAACGAAAAGAAAAAAAAAATACAAAAAAAAGTTTTTGATAGAATACGGAGAGTGTCTTCATTTTTCAAGGATTGTTATTGATGTGAGCCAAGTGTATGTGTGTCAAGCATATTTATAGCAGAAGAAATGCAAATGGCATTTTCTTTCTCTGTCCCTCCCCCCATACAAATTTATACATTTCTGACAACTGATTATGGCTTTTTTGGTTTTTTATATATATATATATATATATATATATATATTTTTTTTTTGTCTTTTTTGGGTTTGTTTTGTTGATTTCTACTTAAGTTTTCTTTCTGATCAACAATGGTGTACTGCTTTTTTTTTCACTACTGTCCTTTCTTCATTCATCATTGATCTACACCTTTTTTTTTTTTTTTTTTTCAGAATTCTTCCTTCCTCTTATTCACAATTCTTTAATTTCCACCCTACATTTTTCAACCCACACCACAATTTTTTTTCCCATCACGCCAAAATTCTTTAATTCTTTCCCCATTCTTTAATTCTCTCACAACAATTTTACACCCCCCCCGTTGTACCCACAGTTCTTTTAATTGCACCCCGCTCCCACATTCGACTACAAATTGTTGATTTTTTTTTTTTTTTTATTGTTTATCACCTGCTTTCTTTTTCCTTTTTTTTCATTCTTGTTCTCTTTCTCTCTTACTGCTGACACAGACAAAAAATGATTTATTAAACAAGAAATTTGTGGGGAGGCGAAATAAAAAAAAAAATGACAAAGAAAAAACAACAAAATCTCAAAATGTATACCAATCAAAAAGCATATTTTTATTACATGTTTAGAAAATATTGTGTGAAATATATTAAAAATAAATGTTAATGATCAAACAATGAAAAAAAAAAATTTTGATAAAATGAGGTGGAGACTTATATAGCCAAAATATATATATATATATATATATATATATATATATATATGCTAATTTTTTCTGAACAAAGATTTTTCAATAACTGTATAAACAAAATGTCGGTGATAGAGGCTTGTCTTTAGCTAAATGGGAAAATCTTTTAACTTCTTGTATCAATTAAATTTAGTTTTCATTTTAATGTTGTCAAAATTTTATTAAGTTTTTTTTTTTTTTTTTTTTTTTAAGCTGAAAATTTAATAACTTTCAGTATTTTTCCTTCTTTTATAGTTTCAGATTTGATTTAATTTAATATTTCTTCCTTCTTCTCCAACTACCAAGAGAAAAAGAAATTCTTACAAATCTTGAGAGAGGATATATATATATATATATAATGTGCGTGCGTGAAGGGTAATTGAATGACAAAATGAAAAATATCTATGTTAAACATTTCTTTCTTTGAAAGGGCTATTCTAGACTCCTTTTGAAGAACAAATCGCATAACATAGGATTGTCATTCAATTACTCACTATTAGCCAGATATATAGATTTGTATATAATATCTTTCACACACACACACATATATATATATATATATATATATATATATATATAGTCAAGTACTTTTGTAAAAACATGAACAGTTATTTATGTGTGTATGAAAACTTGAACAAACTAATGAAGTTATTTGTACTTGTGCCATGAATAATAAACAAGTATTAAAAGCTTATATATATATATATATATATATATATTCCTCTCAAAATCTACCCCCACTACTTTTTTTATATCCATTTTTGTTCCTTTATGGAGATGAACCTCATAGCAATATAGATTTTAAATTGAGACAGAAACAAATGAGAAAAATATATTAAATCTCTTTTGTATAAAAACAAAAACGACAAAAATATTACTTGATTTCCTCACGTAGCAAAATAGATTATTACAACTATTATCATTGTGGTTGTCAAAATCATAACTCCCATATATTTTTTTTTTCTTTTTTTTTTTTGTAATGATAGGACCCTCGTAATTTCTGTCTTCTATTTTTTATTCCTTGTAACAGAAAGTTTATTTTGACTCCCCATACTTTTATTATTCAATGTTATACTCATTCTGTTACACAAAACTTTATACCATCAAAATGTTTTTAAAAATGAACAATTTTTTTTTTTATTCATTTTGGTAATAAATGATTTTGTTGTTTTTTTCTTTCTGCAAAAATATCTCTTGAAATCTTTCTTTAAGTATTTTATTTTACAAAATCAAAACTTCTTGACATTCAGAAACAAACTATGCTTGTAAAATCTATGTAGAAATAAGGACTGTCAATATAGGCCTTCAATTCCTGCTGCTGTTAATATTATAGATTATGATTATAATATTGTCTTCTGATATTGCTATAGACAGTTGTTATACAGAATGCTTTTCTTTTTGTTTTGTGTTGATTTACTTAGGATGTCTGTTGCTGTCGTTGCCATTAAATGCTATAATAATTGTTATTGTCACCACTAGTTGCTAACAATTTCAAACTATTTCTTTTGCCGTGAACAAAAATTTGTGCAGTGTTTAAATTAGACTGAAAAATAATTTCCCAGATCTTTCGAAAATAAATTAAGATAGAGAAAATTATACCTGCTTTTGTTAACGTATCTACCATTATTCAGATTCTCAAATCTCTTCTTTTAAAGACAGAAGAGAATGAAGAAGCCAAATAAAAAAACATTATATATTCTCAAAACTTCAAATATTGTTACAATTACTTGCTACCATACCTACTATACATTTTTTTTCTTATTTTTTTCTTTTTTTTTTTTTTTTTAACCAAGAACAAGAAACCATATTACCCACCCATATCCTCCTGGTATCAATTTAAATTTACACCTTTTCTCCGTTTATTGTGGACATATTACTTAAAGTTTGTATTTTTTTTGAAATTTCAAATAAAAAATAGAAATTTCCCAACATATTTAAATGACATTTTCGCTTTCAAAAATCATAGTTTACGTATATGCAAAAATGAAAACATTAGTTTCAAATGGTGCCACCTTTTTTTCATATATTGTGACCATTTCGATTAAAGTCTATATTTTTTTTGTTAATTCCAAATGAAAATAGAACATTTCAATGAAATTTTAACTTTCCAAAATTAAATAGGTTAGCTATATGGAGAGGAGGGAAAGATGGAGTCATTTTAAACTGACACCAGGACAATATGAGTTGAATAAAACAATTTCCATTTTTTAACTGTTTTTTGTTTTTTTTTTGGTAGTCTGTTAATATGAAAAAAATAAATGAGTTGTTCAAACATTTTCAAAGAATCTTAACCATAGATTTGAGTCTGCTATATTTTGCCAAAAATTTAATCAAATGAAAAGAGGAACAACAACAACAATAATAATAATAATAATCTTTTAGAATTTTATAAAGGTTTCTAAAAATTTAACAATTGTTCCTTCATCCAATTTGTTAGATTTTTTTTCACTATGTAGACTCTAATAAAAGAAAAAATGATGAATGCTGGCATTTTAATAAAAGTAATTCAGGTTTTAAATTTTGTGTATAAATTTGTGTATGTTTCGAACCATTTCTTTTTTTTTTAAAAGCAAATCATTATTGAATGACAAAACCTTGGCAGTTTATATTTAAGTAATATATTTCCATCCCTACTCCAAGTTATATGCAAATTGGATTTTGCCAAGATTTCAAAATGACAAACTAACAACTCTAGCTGGACATTTTCTTTCAATAAAATATTTTCTTTTTGGCAGGTATACTGAGAAATCCATTTGCTTGTTATTATTTTATGATACAAAATTAAGAATTTGTATTAATTAAATTTTACATCTCATTATGGTCTTGTCAATCCTTCAAGTGATTTCAGAAATCTTTCAGTTATTCAGTAAATGTTACTTTTATTGGCTTTTCAATGAACATTAACTATTTGTGTGTGGGTTATTTTATTTTTCATTTTGATTTTTTTCATTGTTTTTTATATGTTTTTTGTTTCATTTTTTTTTTTTTTTTTTTTTTGTTTCATTTTGTTTTTTTTTGTTTCATTTTGTTTTTTTTTTGTTTCATTTTGTTTTTTTTGTTTCATGTTTTTTCCAATTTTTTTTGTTTATGCTTTTTTTTCTTTTTTCTTTCATTTCTGTTCAAAAAAACCCACCCACTTGGTTTCAAGTCAGTGAAAATTTAGAAATAACTGACTTCACATAAACAGAGCTTTCATTATTAGAATAAAATATATTATTATTACTCAAACTTTACTATTTCTGCTCTTGTATGTTATTATGTTATTGTTGCAATATATTAAATAATGAAATGGGCTGAGTATTACTTTGCTTACTGCTACCATTATTATTATTATTGTTTGCCACATTGAATTGATCAATGGAAATTCTGTTCTTGAGCCATGGTGTCAGCAAGAACTTGAGAACTTTTTGGGGAATCCTCGCAGTTTTCTGGAGGTCTATAATCTTGGTCTCAAATCCAGTTTTCCCTAAGGACCCTTTCAATTTCCTAGGTGGTGTTCTGAGCATGCCCATTAATAAAGGTATTACATGAACAGTTATGTTCCATAAGTTTTTCAACTCCCTTGCCAGATCCTGGAATTTTTCACTCTCTTCAGCTTCTTCGGTGCCCACTTTTGTATCGTATGAAACAGAAAAGTCAATAAATTTGACAGTTGCTAATTTTCTTTATCAATATAACAATAAGATTGGGTCTTCATGCTTCTATGAAATGATGTGTCTGGACTGAGAAATCCCATAATATCTTGTGACTGCCATTTTCTACCACTGCTTCTGGCTGGTATTATTATTATTATTATTATTATTATTATTATTGCTGCTGCTTGCTTGCAAATGTCTCTTTTATGAAATATT